TAATTATTTATAATAACTTGACGTACCAGTTTGCAACAACAGTACTTGTACTCTGTGGTATGCTCTATGAATGTAAATAGAAAGGAAATTAGATCATAAATTACAGAGAGAGAATGTACGGCTAATTTACACTAGTAGATTTAGTGTAGATTTGTCATTTTGTGTGTAATTACATGCTTTGTATAAAGGCTGGTTTTCACTAGAACATAACCACAAGCACAAGCATAAGCATAAGCATAAGCACAAGTGAAAACAGCTTTGACATAACCATAAGCATAAGCAGAAACATAAGAAGAACGACCCCACTTATTTGTCTTGTGCAGTTTTCACTAGTGACGCACCCGACGTAAGCATAAACATAAGCACAGGAAACACAGAACTGTTCCTTTTTCTTGTGCTTATGCTTATGTTTATGTCAAGCACGTTACTAGTGAAAACAGCACAAGACAAATAAGTGGGTTCGTTCTTCTTATGTTTCTGCTTATGCTTATGTTTATGTCACAGCTGTTTTCACTTGTGCTTATGATTATGCTTGTGCTTGTGCTTATGCTCTAGTGAAAACCAGCTTTTAGGCAAGCCCAGTGATGATCCATCTCGATTGCAGAGCATTTTTTGGAGCAGAATTAGGACTAAAGGACATAAATGAGAATACTGCATGATCTATGCTGAACAAAACACTGCAAATTAAGGGCTGGGATCTGTAATGTATTGTATTAAATTTTAAGATACTAGTTCATTGAACCTTTTTTTCACTTATAGCACATGCTGGGGTTGCAGAAGCTGAAGGGGTACTTTAAGTTCTTCAATGAATCGTTAGTTCTAAATACCTGATGATTTTCGTTTTCTTGAATTCGGCTCTATGATGATGTTTGGTGAGCTTGTATTACCATTGACAGATGTGGTTAATTCTTCTGCATCAGGTTCCACTGGTGGTAATCAAAATCAAATTACTGTATTCATATTATTAATATCTTATACAGATGCTAAAGAGACTACTCATTCTGTGACAACTAACCAAAACCATAACTTGTAATGCATATAAAATTTAGGATGGAATTTTTGTTTAAAGCATGCTAGAAGGACTGGAGGTTGTGTGACCATTGATCCTTTCTGAGTATATTATAAATTTTATTTAGTTAAATTAATAAACACCTGAATTTTTTGTCTTTTTTGGTTTC